GTTCGGAAATTCTAAGCGCTTCCTCATGTGCCCCGACATGTGGGGAGCCCTGTGCAAGCTCTTTTTCCTGTCAGGCATGCGGGTTTCAAAGTAGTTTTGTCTGTAACAGATGATGGAGGATGCTTGTTGTGGAGGCCAGCCAACCTGCGATTTGCACCTGTGGCATGCCGCCAGGCATTGGCGGAGTCCCTCACCGGCATGTCTTCCCTGGAGGAGTTGTATTTAGGCTACAACAACATTGGTCCAGAGGGCGCTAAGGACGGGGAAGTGGAGAGACCTCGCTGAGTCTGATTGCAGCTGTCTGCTGTGTATCATTTCCTGCAGGCGCTCGCCAGCGCTCTGAAGGGTCTGACCGCGTTGAAGGTCCTGAATCTACAGCAGAACAATCTCCAGTGCGAAGGGATTCAGGCACGCCCTCTGACACCGGGAAGTTGTGATGTAGCCGTGAAGCTTGGGGGACTTCTGAGAGTTTCCTGAGTTTTCCTGTGAGTTGTCTTTCACATTCTTTCACCGACGAATGGGAGGATCCTTATTCCAAGTGAATTCCCGGGCAGCAGGAGAAAGTCTCGTCAGCACAAGTGTCGGTCAACGTTTAATGAATAATGAAGCACGTCAAGCAACCACCAGCCGCACATCTCGGGCTGTGGATGCTGCAGAGTCGGCCTACTTTCAGTGCCCCCTGACTATGTCAATGTGGTGGAGTGCTGCTTGCAAGAGGGCATCTCCGGCAGGCACTCGCGCTCGCTCTGAAGGCTCTGACCGCGTTGAAGGTCCTCAACCTACGGCAGAACACTCTCCAGCACGAAGGGAGTCAGGCACGCCCTCCCGGCTGGGACACTTTGGCTCGGCACGTGCAGGCGTTTATGTGGAGGTTGTTTTTCTCATTGAGGGGTTAGGAATGAGTTTTAGTTTCCTGTCTTGCGCAGCCGCAGCAGGGGGAGAACGCTTTTGTGATGGCTTTGCACCGTCAGAGAGTGCGCCTTCCACCTCCTACATTCCGCCAGGCACTGGCGGAGTCCCTCACCGACATGTCTTCCCTGGAGGAGTTGTGGCTAGGCTATAACAACATTGGTCCAGATGGTGCTCAGGCCAGTGCCGTGGCATGGTACTATCTTGCCAAAATCAACAGCCCAGTAGGTGGTGGTGGATCGTGATGGAGCACAGACGAATCAATGAATGTCTGCGGCTGCGCCAGGCACTGGCACCAGCCCTCGTGAGTCTCACGGCATTGAAGGTCTTGTGCCTACGAGAGAACCTTCTGCAGGGCGAAGCTATCAAGGCGCATGCGGATAGACCTTGGACTGAACATTGACGTGCTCAAACATGCCCGCAGAGTTTTTCCTACAGTTCATAAAGAACCCGACAGCCTGCCCTTCACCTGACCATAGCTCTACCTCTCACCCTGTCACGCCCCACCACAGACGAAACATCTTGCAACGCAGGTCTTGAGCAGGCCCTGGCGCCTGCTCTGAAAGGGCTGTCTGCGTTGAGGGCGCTCGACCTACACGGAAACAATCTCGCGCGAACAGGGGCCCAGGCGTGTCGGGAAGAGACGGACTCGTGAAGCTTCGGGTCCTTCTTTCCTTGACGTGCAGACGTGAGTTGCCTTTCATGCTTGCTGTCGAAGGGCAGGCACTCAGCATGTTCCAGGTGCTGACTTGGTGAGCAGAAAGTTGCTTCGTCCGAAGGGGGTGGTCTTTGGGGGTCCGCTCTGGCTGTAGTGATGTCAAGACACAGCTCTGCCGCAGCCAGGCACTCGCGGCGTCCCTTGCTGGTGCACCTTTGTTGGAGGAGTTGAACTTGTATGCCACCAACATCGGTCCAGAGGAAGCTCAGGCCACGACTGAGCTTGATTGCAGTTGTCTGTTTTGCATCGTCTCTGAGCAGGCCCACAGGCCAAGCGGGTCGGCTTAGAAACTTTTCGGGACATGCTAGACGATATACAGAACACGTTGTCACTGCTACTGCCCATCTCTGCCAGGCACTGGCTCCTGCTCTGAGGACAAAAAGCGGCTTGAAGGCCTTATACATACACGGAAACAAGCTCCAGGACGAAGGCGTGAAGGCACGCTCTGGGAGACAGGGAAGTTGAGATGGACCCTTGAAGATGCGGGCCGCAGCGCCTCTCCTTTCCTGTCACATCATGTCACCATATGTCACCTAAGTCTGAAGCATATTGTTCGACATGATATGCTAATGCTGCTGATGATAGTTACACCACAATCAAACTGAGAGCACGTTTTAGTCTTTTATAATTGACATGATGATGTTATGGAATGCAGAATGCAAAATGTACAATGCAACATGAGGAATACACCACTGTACTATCGAACTGCACCATATCCTGATCGCGTGTATACATACTACATACGTACATGCATGCATGCATGCATATATATATATATGTATACACAGAGATGCTTCTGCACGGTACACATACTGTATAGAGTGTCGCAGACTCTAGACAACCTTTGGTCTTGTTTTCCGTCGTCCGGTTGGCGTCACCCATGTAATGCCATGCAAGCCTATGAATCGTGAAGCAACCGGTAGACACTCCAGTCGAAAGTACATCGTCTCGCGAACGGACACTTCTTAGCCCATTCTCCGCACCCTTCGGAAGTTTCACATACAGACTAAGATCTGTAAAATGTGCAGCTCCAAGAACGGTCTTCTCAGGACAAATCGAGAGGGCTCCGGAATCTTCATGAACTGGCTCACTGAGCTTGCGACGACCTTCATTACACGCCATCACATTATAGTATTGTGTAGCATCATATAGTATAATTGGCATAGAAAACTATAGACTTAGATCGTAGAATAGTACAATATTCTGCAAGTCGCGAGGCGCTGGCGGAGTCCTTCACCGGCACGCCTTTGCTGGAGGAGTTACACCTAAGCTGGAACGAAATTGGTGCAGATGGCGCTCAGGCAAGTATTATACTATACTCTTCTATATCCCATAATATTCCACTATAAAATACTATAATATACTATGATATACTACAGAGGTGGCTCAGCAGCCATTCTGCAATGCATTGTGCAGTTCTGTCTTGACACGAGTCGCAGGCCAAGCAAACAGGATTTAAGAGTCTTCTGCTCGCTTGCACATCGCTGCTCCGGCACACATTGGTGCATGCACGCCTCTTGGGAAAGAACTCTTCGCCAGGTCCTGGCGCCCGCCCTCAAGGGCCTCACAGCACTAAAGGTCCTCGATCTTGAGTGCAACCAGCTACCGGCCGAAGTGATCAAGGTCCGCCTGCCTTTCAAGTCTGATCGTCGGTGGAGTGCTGCTTGACCAGGTGGTGGAGGATGCTCTACGTGAGCTCCCAGTTCTGAAGGAATTGCGTTTGTAGGCCATGGGGCTGCGCTGCCACGTCGAAGATTCGAAGTGTGGTTCTTTCCTGTACAAATACACCAGATGCAACCTGGCTATGCATCATGCC